TGCACCGCGAGACGGCCTCTGCGTTTCCGCATCTGCCGCCGACAACTGGCGTCTTTGGCGGGAGCTCTGAGGCCGTCCTCTGGTCGATGTTGTCGCCATCACCAGCCGCTCGTCTCCCATCACGGAACGAGCCCTTGCAAGTATATCCGTGATCCCCAAACCATCGGCGATGGAGCTGGCTCGCAGTGTCCTCCGTACGGACTCGGGAAGACCGGCGAGAAAGGCGCACTTCAGAGCCCGTTCCGGCACGCCTCCAAAGCGATCTGCCAGCCGTCGAAGAGCAGCGAGGTAAACATCCGCGGACTCCCCAAGCTGCAGCCGCCTTGTCACGAACGCATCGTACGCAGCGCTTTCGTCGAGCGCAAACGCGGCTTGTAAGGCGGCCTTCACGGCCGGTAATGATTCTCTAGCATCGGGGGAGAGCTGGGACCACACCGCGAAGGCACCGCCAGTAAGACGTAGAGGTATCACCTCGATGGCGTCCACACCTCGATGTGAACATATCAGTTCTGCCCGTGAAAGCCATTCCATCACATCAGTTGATCCGTCGAATTCCGTTATCAGCCGGGGGTCAAACTGCCCTGTTTCCACTTTCCCCGTCTTATTCTTCCCTGATCTTGGAGCCATTCTTATTTCCACTGCTAAATACGTTAAAGCCGAAATAGCTTGTGATAAGCAAATGAGAAATCAATCCGCCCGACACAAATCGTCTCCCAAAAAACCACTGTATTTTTGCCTCCCCAACAATCCGACTTGATTTTCTGAAGTTGATCTCGCGCAATTTCTCGCCCTTGTGTGAACTTCACACTTCCGTATCACAGTTCACATCACACACCTGTAAGTTGTAACGTTAGAAGGACTTTCTGAATAGATGTTTCAATTTGCTGAAATAACTTTACCAAAACGTAAAAAGGGACTAAAGTAGACGGCTGCGCTGCGTTTATGTCATTATTTGTATCATTTCGGGCATATTATACTGGGCGTTGGTTTAGTTAAAACGTAGATGCACCCAACTGTTATGGTGGCTTGAAAACCAAAATAGCGTTGTCCACTACCGATGAAAATATTCAAATACATGTCCAATTCAAACTTCAGCGTGCCATACATCCGGTCAGCAGCCTGCCAGTTGAGACATCAATCAGCAGCCGTCCAGCGCTGCCGGTCAGCTGGGGACATCAGTCGGACCAATCAGCAGCCAGTGGGAACCCCACGTCCCGACGTTAGAACACCTGCTGCACGCGCTATGTGAGTGGTGTCAGCGCCAGCGCAGTGGGGCAGCTGTAGCACGGGACTTCCGAATCACCGTACAGCGACAGCTGACGCCCAGGTGATGTCAGTGTCGACATTCGGCTACCTTCGGATCTCGGTCTGCACCTGGTCAACTCCCGAACGGGCCGGAATGACACGCGGGCATAAAAACGGGCCGAGCGTGAAAAAGCCGTCATGTCTTGGCCGGGAGATGTTATCACTCAGTCTGGTTAATGAGAGTAATGAGATCGAAAATGCCAATGGCGGTTCCTGTTATCCAAGGCTGGATATGATGGTTAGGCACTCGGATAAAAGTTGAAACCTAAGATACCATATGAGGCGCCGTGCGAAATCTCACAACAACGACCTTTCACCCGGTGGAAGCAAGACATTATTTTATTCTTATGTAAATTCGTCAATCCTATGCCGCAGGAATCGTGTTTGACTTTTCATTTCAACCCGCGCATTTTCAAAATGCATCGATGATGTGCAGAAACGCGATACGGGCAGAAAAACATCAACTGACGCCAACTCCTGAGTGTTTGGCAGGCATTCGGTTACTGAAATATTCAATCGTTTGACAGAATGGCTCCAAAGTCAACGCTTTGTGATAGAATTTGAGGTCAAGAATGGAATGAAGAAATAAAACTGTACCTATGCAGTAGTGCTTGAGACTTGAACGAGCCAACTAACAAGCATGAATTCATTTATTTACAGAGTTTGATGAACTGTTGTGCTCCTCAACTACGCCCTCATTATTATCTGAACTGAGTGAACCGTAACGCTCATGTGAGCCGTAACGTAATGTTAGCTCCAAGAGTGTACGAATGAGCCCATTATCAAATCATAAACAAAATAAGTTTTTTTTTAATCAGCTCTCTCAGCATGTCTGAGGATGGTTAAAAATAGCTTTTCATTTAACTGCAAATTCAAAGTTCGACCTATCCTAACGACTGCGGTGAGTAAAAAAAAAAAAGAAAATGAAAGGTCTTAAGCGGGCTTTTTGGTCGCCCTTCCATTGGATCTTTCATGGTCGCTTCTGCAGCTGTCTCGTCAGGCTCACCTTTCTCTACCCTGCACTTCACCACCATGCCCTTCCCTACCGCTTCCAAACCGCAGCGCCAGTAGCCGGCATGAATTAGCGGCGGTGAGCCGGTCCCGCTCCCAGTGGGCAGTGGCTGGCTTCCCGCGCTCCCAGACGCGTATAACACGCCCCGGTGATCACTGACCACTTGAACGGCCCTGTGGCCATGCAAATGCACCTCGTAATTACGCCGACCTTCGCTCCGCTGTGAACTGTCGACCGGATGTGCACTTCTCGGCACTTTTGAAGAGGATCTCTGAGAAATTGTGGTTTTGAGTCAACTTCCTCCAATTTCGTAGTGGAGGTAGTCCTTATTGCATGCATCAGTCCGTAACGTTATGCGTGGAATGTGATTTCGAGTGCCTGTTGTGAGTCAGAACTCCTATTCATCGTACACCCACGTATGGGGACGAGCTGTTGGCAGGACCTGATCATGGCTGTTAATTTAACGTTATTAATTTATTTCGGTTGTAGTCATATTCCCACTGCATAATGTAATGAGACATTCTATTTTTACCTTATTCTCATGCGGTAATTTTATTTTGAAGGTAAAAAATAATTGAATGCAGTTTCCATATATGTATAACGTGACATGACGTGGCGAAACCAATAAGTGACCACTGCAGCCCCGAGCTCTCTTATATTATCGCTCCGCTTGAGTTTGAACTCCATCTCTCAACACTAGACTGGATAGATATGTGACAGCCGGGTCGCTATTCCACCACTGGTCGCCCCTCTGTTGCCAAATGACTGCACACAGAGCTGAGGCAGACATAGAGCCCAGAATCTCACATACAGACAGACAGACAGGCAGACAGAACCGACGGCTGAATCTCGGCGTGACGAACGGCACAATGGCTGGCGCCGCTCTCCATATTCATCAAACACACGCAAATAACACCACTGAGGACCAGTGCGGGATGGATGGTAATTCAAGGTCAGATGATCAGCGTAGGCGAGAAATGATGCCGCAGACGCGAACCATAACTCATGGAAAGTTGTGGTTTGACCAAAATATATGGTTGTTTCGAATGTTTCGAAGGCCGGCAAAACAATTATGCATATCATAACCTGTGTATCGGCGTCGTCTGTGACTGTGACATTATAAAATTTCTGGAGATTATATATGATTTTCGATTGTCCATCCACCCAACACGCACCTAGCAGTTCACTGACTGCTTCACCTACCCATCACATACCCATCACACATGCATCCACTGAACATTCTGACCCTAGCACGGGGCGCCAAAGTGTTGTATTTACCTACCCCTCGCTGTGCCCTACCCAACTGCTCGGCCCACTCAACTGTATCTAGGCTGGAGAGGGCGTAACCGGTTCGCACTCACTCCAGCTGCCCCACTCAGGCACGCGATGTTGTTATTTTTGCACCTACAGCGGCGCGGCTCCCCCACCCCACACGAACTCACACCTCGGGAAGCCACGCTAACTGTCCTGTCCGGAGCTCCGCGTCAGGGCTGCCTGGGAGCGGTGCGCGGTGCCGACGAAAAAGGTTTCGTCGTGACGACAGTCATGGTAGCGTGTCGGTGGTTCGTCTTCCGGGGGCCCGTGGATCCCATGCCTCCTGTCTCGTCAGCGCGTGACTCCTGCGTAACTGACGTTTCTTCAGGCGCTGTGGACCGGTGTCTTCATTGGCATGTCTCTTGATGTTTCTCATCAGGCAGTGTCTTCTTTTACATGTCTCCTGTTGTCTCGTCGGACGGTGCCTTCCTTCATACGTCTCCTGTTGTCACTTAGGACTTTGTTTCCCGACTCCCACCTCACAAACCGGTATATGCTCTCACTCCGTCTCCACTCCACTCCGTCTCCGCGATCGGTGTCTCCCCACATTTGTCTATTGTCTCCCCACCCACCTTTGTCTCTTGTCTCCCTCCCGGGCACGCTCACGACCCTCCCAACTCCGTCGTCTGAACCACGACGCTGACCGCTCGCTTCCGGCGTGACGTCACTCGCTCGTGATCAGATGTGACGGACGAGACTCACGATCCACGACTAGCGTATGCGGCTAACGGTGACACGCTGATAATCAGTGGAAACTCACTATAAAGAGACTGTATGTATGACCGTATGACCGTATACCTACCACACGAGGACAAGCAATGCAGGAAAACGTGTAAACTGTGAGCTATCCAAATAGGTATGAAAAAGCGTTGGCAGCGAACCAGAAGTCATCTGTCAAACCTGATCAGTTAATATCCGCGTTGATCTATTGCCTCACGACTGATGACACTGTCCGATGCGCACGTGCGCACGTGCCAGTCGACGGTGGGAACGTGCCGTGCGGTAGTTGCGGCGGATTATAAACGGTCGAGTTACGGTCAGCGACGCACGTGCGCGCGTGCAGTGTCGCTCACAACAGGTTTCGGAGCACAGAGCCAGCGGGACTGACGTCAGCTGTCAAATGGACGGATTTTATGGGATGCTATTGTAGTCCAAACTGTTACTTGCGTGTCTAATGACAAACCAGAAAACAGCGAAAAAGGGATAAGAGAGAAAAAACAGACCGGAACAATGACTGTGTAACATGCATGCGACCTATCGACCTGTAATTGCGAATCATGGAGTTATTTTTCCAAAACGCGTGCCTTCTTAGATGTGTATCACATGTTGCATGCAATCTATCATGTTCACATAACTTTTTCTTTCGCAGTGCGTTGTCAGCAGCAGCGGTTCCGTGTCCGTCCGTCCAACGTGAGCGTGGTGGAAGGAGACAGCGCCATCTTACGGTGTGAAGTGCAACACCAAGTCGGACAACTGCAGTGGGCCAAGGATGGATTCGCTCTCGGTAAGTCCGGTGAAATGCTTATGTTGCCCTCAGCGTTGTATGTTGTTTGTAATCTGCATACATCGTATATAGATCTTATGAGCTTCGAGGCATCTTGTTTAGAGTGGGTGCAGCTGCACCTGACTTTTGACCTTCAGGATGTTTCATTACCTAAGGGGCCTCAATAATTCAGTTGTGATGTAGCTCTTTGCTCGTTTTATGGCATTTGTCACCAAATTATCCCAGAATGACCCTTACGTGTATACAATCCCACACAAGGGCATGCTTTCTTCTGTAATGTTCGGCCAACGGCAACCCGTTTTCTTCTAAATCCCGTGCTTCCAGCCCAGACTCTCGTCCCGCGGGAGTTCCCGTAAAAACAAACCAGTGCAGCGGATGGGTCCTGTTTGCTGGCTCGCCGCAGTAGCCGCCACGCGTCACTCTTTGTGGCCCGCCCAGCGCGCGGCGTACCGGCCGCGACTCCTCCCCTTGTGACAAATAACCCGGCCACCACACCGGTAATGGCTTTGTAATTGAATAATGGTAATGGAAATGTCCGGGAGACCAGGAGCAAGTAGCGGTGGTCGGCCGCCGCACTGGACGGCAGAAAACCACCTGAACTCCCTCGGAAAACCCAAACATACTCGATATCGGTATCGAGGGCAGAGAAGGAAAAAGCAAGATTGAAAGTTAGGTCTCCAGCCCGACCTACATTTTCCCCACCAGCGGATCCAGACAAGGATAGATTGGGGAGAGGGAGGAGGGTAGCCATTATGGATAGCTTTGGACCAACAACCAAAACTGATGGTCGACTTTTTGTAAACCTTTTGGACTTGCCCTTTGCCAAAAGAATAGCTACCGTTGGAATAAACTTGGTCACTAATCGAATTAAAAATAGATGGCTTCGCTGTATTTATTTTGAATTATTTGAATAGGTAGGGGAGAGTGGGGTAAGATGCCCAGGGTGGGAAAGACGCCCCACCCCCTCTAGCGGGGAAACAAAGAATCGAACCTGGAAATTAATGTTCTTAGCGTAAAGAAGAAGCCTGCCTTGTTAACTGCACACAAATTTGCGAAGCTCAGTTGGGCAACGGCTGGCTGGTGATTGCATGTTTTTTATTTGCTGCTTTCAAAAAATATTTTGGCGTCAAAACATTGTAAATATCAAAAAAGGTAGATAATTTTTGCGTCCCTTGCTATAGTCGTGATACATTAACATGGGTGTACTGTGTCCCAAACAGTTGATTTCAGGGTGTAGTTTTATGGCTAACAAATTGTGCTGATTTAATGTTACTTCGGCACCTTGGGGTAAGATGCCCCCTGTCCTGATGGGGAAGACGCCCCCCTAAATTCGTAGGCTGGCCTTCAAGCAGCCCGTCAAATCATGTATTACATACTTGTGATGAGAGACAAAAGCCGATCTGGGACTATTGAGTCCGGTACGATCGGGTGCTCCCCATGCCGGTCTCTCGGCCCACACAGCGACTTTTTGGGCGGCATCTGACTCTGAGAGCCCTCACGACGGCCTCTGTGGGCCCCATTATTGGTTCTATGGCCCCTCACGACATCCTTTGAGGGCTCCCACGCTGGCTCCACGGGCCGCGCTGGCATCTGAGTTCCCCACGATGGGCTCGAGGGCCCTCAAGCATCATGAAGACCTATAAGGGCCCCACAGTGGTCTCCGAACGCCACCACGGAGGCTTGTTTGGCCACGCTGGACTATGATGGCCCTAACGATGACCTCTGAAGCCCCTTACGACTACTTTTGAGGGCCCTTACGATGACGTTTGGTGTCTACTGCAGGCTCGAAGGGACTACTGATTCGTTCAGGCGATTCACGTGCCTATTTATGTCACTTTTAGTGCAGGGGGCATCTTACCCAGCGCCAGGGGGCGTCTTTTCCACCCTGTGGGGTAAGATGCCCCTTTCACTTCTTCAGGAAAATGCTTGATAGCAAAAAAGTTATCATATTTCAGGCACGAAAGTGTGATATTTTTGGAGAAAAATGATGTCAGCTTCCGTTGAAACTCCAAGTTTTGGCTTTCCGATCGTCATTTTCGAATAATATATGACATAGTCAAACCCTGGGCATCTTTCCCCACTCTCCCCTACATTTGCAAACGTCATTTATTAAGGACTAGAAAAAATAACAAATAACTTAAGAATCACAACAAAAATGCGTGAAAGTTTCGTAAGAATTGGTTTTGCATGGACAAATCTAACATCTCTCTCGACTTTCTCAACACAGGCTATTCTCGACAACTTCCGGGTCACTCGAGATACCGAATGCTGGGTGACCCGGGGTCAGGAGTGCATGACCTGGAGGTCACCAACGTGACCCTGGAGGACGACGGTCGGTTCCAGTGTCAGGTGTCGCCGAACCGGGGACAAGACGCCATCCGAGCCGACGCCATACTCACCGTTCTAGGTAAGAAGCTGTGAGTGTTATGCTAGCTAAGTCTTTATCAGGGATATATATATATATATATATATATATATATATATATATATATATATATATATATATATATATATATATATATATATATATATATATAATATATATATATATATATATATATATATATATATATATAATATATATATATATATATATATATATATATATATATATATATATATATATATATATATATATATATATATATATATATATATATATATATATATATATATATATATATATATATATATATATATATATATATATATATATATATATATATATATATATATATATATATATATATATATATATATATATATATATATATATATATATATATATATATATATAATATATATATATATATATATATATATATATATATATATATATATATATATATATATATATATATATATATATATATATATATATATATATATATATATATATATATATATATATATATATATATATATATATATATATATATATATATATATATATATATATATATATATATATATATAATCCGAGTTAATTCTTATCTGTCATTCAAAAGTTATAGATTTTACACTTCCTACGAAGAGTATGAAATGTTCCGTTATCCATTGCAAGTAGAAGTAAAACCCTTTATTTGTTCATCACCAATAAAGCGTCATTTCACTCTGCCCCTTATCCCTATCGTCATCAGTGAAGCCGCGACTGGTCCAGCTGAGTTGCGGGCAGAGCTCGCCGACGGCGCCCGAGGGCAGCTGCGAGGTCAAGGAGGGCGATCAGCTGACTCTGGCCTGTGACGTCATCGGGGCACGGCCGGCTCCGAGCGTCCGCTGGCAGCGGGAGGGCGAGGACATCCACCCCAGTGAGTAGCTCACGCGTCAGGTTTTGATGTGGCTGGGCCACAGCAAGAGAACGAGGTTCGTTTACTTTTCAAAATGTGTCCGTCATGGACTTTTATCATCCTCGTTTCGTTGCAATACGATTCGCTAGTTGAATTTGCACATCGGGTGCTGTGGATATATCTCACGCCCTTATCATTTATCACGTATATTTGAACGTGCACACATCAACCCTTCCATTGATATTGAACGATTCAATGCATGACATGATTTCTTCCAGGACAAGAAGTTTCGTATTCTGGCTGGGGTCACCCGGGCCGTAACGACACGACCTCTGTGGTGACCCTGCGACCCACGGCAGCCGACGACGGAGCCGGCATCTCTTGTGTGGCCCAGCACCCGGCCATAGCGCCCGAGGACCGGCAAAAACTGAACGCCACCGTGCGACTCTCAGTACTTCGTAAGTAGTAAATTAAAGAGAAGACACTGCTATGGAGGCTTAGGCTCCAGTAAATAAAACCTCATCGAAGAAGGTCCTTTGTTCATCTTGTTCTCGTCTGGTTTCGCTCTCGAACTCATCTCCTTTGTTCCTGCAAAGGAAACGTGTAGTTTGTCTTGCTGAAATTTTCCCAGCCATTGCCATTTTTAGGTAGGAGTCATACGCAAGCATACAACACTCGCAAATATAAAAGTGCAGAATCCCTATTGTTTCGAAGGTGTAAGAGCATCCAATTCGTAACCATTGAGGACACGTTGACATCCCTATTCCCTTTCCCACTCGCGCAGACCCTCCGGGCGCCCCGGAGATCAGCGGCTACACGGAGGGAGAGGTGGTCAGTATCGGTCAGCAGAAGACGCTCACGTGCATCTCCAGAGGCGGAAACCCGCCCGCCCAGCTCGTCTGGCTCAAGAACGGACGGCCGATCGCCTTCAAGTATCGAAAAATGACTCGCCGGGTTTTAGCCCAATTTACATTCACGGTGACCCAGGCTGACCTGAGCACCATCTACCGGTGCGAAGCGTCTTCCATAGTTCAGCCTCAGCCGACGGTAGCGCTGGCACAGATGAACGTCCAATGTAAGTGGCTCCCAAGGGTGGCTCCCATCGGCAACGGAAAACAGCACGTCATCAAATTTGCATGTGTCAGCGTCTTTTACGATATCACTCTCTGCCAACATTTACCGCGAGTCCTGCTGGCCTTTGCTGGTCGTTTGTGGCGTTGTTAGGTTAGCGTTTCGTATTAGGTTTACGGTGACATTTGTGCCTAAATGTTGCTTCATGCTTGATGTTTGGGACGTTACTCTTGGTGCTTTATATTGCCAGGGTTTTTCCATGTGTGTCCAACTTGTGCTCACAACTATGCGATATGTTCTATTTTATTTGCTTCGTAGCTTTCGCACTTGCTCTTTAATCAACATTTAAAGTTTTGAATTTAAGAAATGCGATAACCTCTTACGGTTCAACTCAAATTGTCTCATTTCAGTCGGTCCAGAGCGAGTCACCGTGTCAGGAACACAGGAGGCCAGAGGTGGAGATACAGTGCACATGTCCTGTATCACCTCCAGCAGTAACCCGCCTGCCAACATCACCTGGGTCATCAACGGCAGGACCATGATGAACGTGAGTGTAAGGCGTACTTGATAATCAACTCGCACTCGCTTGTGTCAATTGTGTATACCTGCGTGCTCATTGTTCGATTACAATGGCGTATTTTGTGTTTAAAACCCATTAACGCCCAGCGGTACCAAAAGGTACCAACGCACATTTTGGCTGGCTGCGTTGAGACCATACGTTTTTTCGCCAGATAGATTCTGTCATTGGATAATCGTCTAAAAAACGTTAAAAAAACGTTAAAAAAACGTTAGTTTTGTCCTTTGTATAAAGACATTTGTGCATCTTAGGAAGATAAACAACCCTACAAGCCTTGAAACCTGGGCTGCAGAATCGGAGTCGAGAGTCGGTCGGGGTCGATATCTCTAACTGAAGTCGGAGTCAGAGTCGGAGTCGATTGTGGAAGCCGGAGCTGGAGTTCGAGTCGCCGAAAATCCCGCGACTCCGCAGACATGCCAGGACTGCGGAGATGGAGTAGGAGTTAGAGTCGGTCGGAGTCGACAATCATGCCTGGAGTCTGAGTCAGAGTCGGAGGTGAAATGTAAAAGTCTGAATTGGAGTCAGAGTCAGTCACTGAAAATCCATCGACTCCGCAGCCTTGCTTGAAACAGTACAGTTCTTCACTAGATTCACCCACCACCAGGTGAATAATAGCATTGACGTTTATGGCAATTAGGCATAGCATGCAGTAATGACGTCATAATCAGACAACTTGAAAAACATAAGCGGCGAGCGTTTGCCATAATGCTGCCGATCAGTATGTCGTCTAATATTATAATTTTCACGAATGAGCTGCTAAGTCTTCTTGGCAAACATATCTTGTATGCTGCTAAAATGCATGTTTTTGCGAAAAAATGATGTCATTAAAGGGACCCTCCCACCTTAACATTAGTTTTGAGTTGAGATAGCCAAATTGGTGGCCATGGCCTGAAAATACCGGTTTGGGCATTCACAACATCGAAAAATGCTTTAATTCGGAGATATGGAATTTCAAACTTGCAGTTTTCGGATTCTAAGGGGCTAATGCATTGGTATGCCCCCTTAGAATTTGTGACGTCAGCGGAGATCTAACGATTTTTAAATCTTTTACTAAAACGTTTGGCAGCACGCGGTGGTATATGCATGGTATATGCTGCTTTGCGCGCAACAAATGCCGCACTTTCAAATAAAGTCGCTAGGAACAGCGGAGATCCCAAAAAGTAAACAAAAGTAAAAGTCTAATATCTTGAAAACCGGTGAATATTTTTCGATGAAATTTGGTAGATATTCATTTTTGCTCTTTCTGAACCGAGCGACATCACTTTCATGCTAATTCATTAACTTTTTTGAAGGTGGGAGGGTCCCTTTAACGCCCAGTGGTACCTACCAAAAGGTACCACTTCAAAAAAGGATATTTCTAGATTTCGCACATTTACCAAACTCACATGGTACCCTTAGGGGACCACTACCTCTAAATCGGCAAATGGGCATTCGTGTGCGTTCGCTGGGGAATTACGGGCGTTAATGGGTTAAAATTGACCCAATTCAGACTGAGCTGTTAGTTGACAAACGTTGCTTGCCACAGACCACGCAGAAGATTGAGCACATCGCCGACCTGGGCTGGGTGTCTCGCTCGAACGTGACGGCGGTGGTGCCGGACGGCATGGAGGAGGACATGGTGTTCTCCTGCTACGCCGTCAACTCTGCACTGCCGCTGACCAAGCTCAGCACCGCCACTGTCCGTGTCCTCTGTGAGTTCCACTCCCTTTGAACTTCAGGAAATATGTTATGTGTTTGATCGCTTTTTGCTCGTTTGGGGAATGCATATTTCCTGGTATTTTCCTAAGCACGAGTACGCCGTGATGAGGACCACTCTCAATAAGATTGATGTCCTATCTGCTTAACAGGCACTAAGTTCAGTAGATTGATTATCGATCCGATGCGAATATTTTCATTTATTTTTCACAGACCCTCCGGAGCCGCCGACGATTCTGGGCTACGAGTCGGGCTCCCACCTGCGGGCCGGAGAGCGGGTGTCTCTCTCGTGCGTCTCGCAGGGCGGCAACCCGCCGGCCACGCTCACCTGGTACCGGGGCGACACGGAGCTGGCCTCGAGCACAGAGGTGCGCGACAGCGTGGCCAGGAGCGTGGTCACGTTCCAGGTGGACCACGCCGACAACGGACGCGACTACACCTGCCGTAGTACAAATTCGGGCATCAGTGGCTTTCAGTCGAGCAGCGTCACGCTCAACGTACACTGTAAGTTTGGCGAATCGATGACGTTTAGGTGCCCGTTGTCAATGACAATATTTCCGCGCACTTACAAATTGTATAGTTTGGACGATGCCGTTTGTGCGATTCTTGGCTGACAAAGTAGCATTGTAGGACAACACATTTAAAGTAAATGCTTTCTGTTTCAGTCCCTCCGTCGAGCCTGAAGCTGGAGGTGCGTCCGGACGTGTTGCGGGCGGGCAGTCAGGCTCTGTTGACCTGCGAGTCGAGACCGTCGTACCCGGCGGCCGAGCTGACCTGGTGGCGAGACAACGTCCAGGTCACCGACGGGGTCACCGCCCTGGAGACATTCAAAGCCGGCAGCAAGGGCGGGTACGTCCTAATGAAGTTTCTGACTTTCCGTAAACTTTGCCGGTGCCGTCGGGTCTAATTGTCTTACAACTTGGCACAATGTTCTATTTTTGTAACAGAATCCTTATTACGTGAGGGTTCCTTCGGATGGCCGAGTGTTTTCAGCGGCCACTTTTCGTCTCCTTTAGGTTATCCAGTCGTCTGCAGCTGCGGCTTAATTTGACCTGGATGGAAGACGGAGCCGTATTTGGCTGTCGGTCAAACGCTTCCTCTCTGCCCGGTGGACTGATTGAAGAGACGAAACTGAATGTCCTCCGTAAGTTTCAGAAGCATGGACATAGGACGGTGTATTTACCTTACACGATAGTCGAAACCACAAAGTTCTTAAATGCTGCACCAATTTGGAGCATTCTCGACTGAAGCGGAATGCACTGAAACGTATACCTTTACGCTATTTAGGTACACCGCAGATGAAGCGTCTCCATGTCTTGTGCTTTGTCCGGCTTTCGTATTTCATTAAATGGATAAAACTCTAAAGGTATATATTTGCTTAAAACATGTGTCTGGCATTCCAGATCCGCCTATTTTCTCCAAGCCCGTGTACGAGATCGACATCCGCTCGGGCGAATCACGAGTGGAAAACCTGACGGCGCTAGCGAACCCAGCCAGCGTGCGGTACTCATGGGAGCGGGAGGGTGCCGCAGTGCCGCGGGACCGATGGCAGGCGAGGGATGACGGGTCGTGGCGGCCGGATGGAGGTCCTCTGCTGACACTGAACGGCGCCCGCCGCTCCCACACCGGCTGGTACCGCCTGACCGCCGGCAACGGCGAGGGCAACACCACCGTCCGGGTGCACGTCAACGTCCTCTGTGAGTGCTGAGGGTCGGCTGGGGCCACTTCCTCTGGATTTAGACACACGAGGTCGAGGCTGCTTGACGTTTCCATGTACTTGATGCCACTTTACTTCATGCTCCTGGCAAACAAACACTGTACGTAGGTACTTTTCCTGTCGACGATTGATGCATTGTAAGCTGCGCTCCGCTTATATATTTTTCCCAGCCAGGTATCGGTAATGTGTGTCTGACGTCGCTAATGTTCGTGCGACAGATCCTCCGGAGGTGGAGTCCATCTCCAACATATCGATGGTCTACCCTGGAGAAGACGGGGTTATCCGGTGCTCCGTGAACGCCAACCCCATGGAGGACTACATGATATCCTGGCACCGAGAGGGCTTCAACCTGGCCTCGGACCGGGTGAGCACGTTCACGAGGAACGGCACCTCCTACCTAACGGTCCACAATGCCACCAAGGAGGACATCGGCGAGTTCCTGTGTCGGGCCGACAACGGAGTCGGACAGGCCACCGCCACCGCCGCCCTGCTCGTCAAACGTAAGTGATCGTAAGAAGATACTCTGAGTTTCAAAGATGCTGCATTTTACAAAGTAAAAACAGTTGATACCAAAGGATGGTTGCGTTAGCGGTAATCACGGCAGTTGTCATGAACATCACTGGCATTTTCCGAACAAACTTGCGTTATGATGAACGGGTGTCTGCGGCGAGGCAGTCGTGACACCTGCGACGAAGCTGGATATATGACGAAAGTTGTCTAACCTTGAAGAAGAGGTATGTGCGAATTGAAAACTTCTGCATGATGTCGCAAGTTTCTCTCAAAATGAAAATAGCTCCCATACCTGCCCCTGAAATATGTTGATGAAGATATGCCTGAGCACCGTGTCAACTGCTATCAATTCATCATTCGGTCGTTGTTCATTGCAGACGCCACAGAGTTTGTCGGGCAGCGCCAGTGGTCACGATCGGCCACGGAAGAGGGTGGCATGGCTGACCTCACGTGCAGGGCTCGTGGCGTCCCCAACGTCACCTTCCAGTGGTCCAGGCTGGATGGACGTGACCTGAACCCCATCGCCGGCTCTGACAAGCTTCAGTACGAATACACACAGGTGAGCGAACTGTTTTCTAGGCATGCATTTTCCCTTTGAAATTCGTCTTCAAAGTATTGGTGACGGTAAGTTTTTTAGTTCCTTAGGTACGGCAGACATGGTCAGTGAGATCATTCGCTAACTTTACAATGTCCCTGTTTTTTTTTTTTTTTTTGGTCGTTGGATGTCTTTTTGAAAGTTCGTATAAACGTCTGGCAGCTGGACCTCATGACGTGGCAGTCGGTGCTCCGCATCAAGGACGTGCAGCCCTCGGACTACGCCACCTACGAGTGTGTCGCCCTCAACGAGCTGGGCTCCCAGCGTCAGCAGATAGAGCTGGGCCGTCCCAGTGCACCGGACCCTCCGCTGGGTCTGAAGGTAGTCAACGTGTCACACGACTCGGCCACAGTGGCCTGGGAAGCCGGCTTCGACGGCGGCCTTCCTCAGGTTGGTAGCTGAAGCATAGGATTCACTTGCCTCCTTTTGCTTGTTTCGCATGTATATTGTGTGACACTGACCAACAATTAGAAGTTCTATCACATCAACCGACAACCCGTATAACTGTGCTACGTTTTCGTTCGCAGGTTTACCAGCTACGATATTATCCCATGTCGGGCAAGAGACACCTGAGTTATGTCAAGGTGCAGCCTCCGAATGCCACGACCTTCACTGTGGACAAGCTGGCCCCTGACACGGCCTACAGTTTTGATGTCAGAGCATACAACAAGATAGGAAAGAGCACGTATTCGATGGCTGTAGAAGGCATCACTATGCGTGAGTTTTTAAAACGGGTATGGTTGACTATGGCCCAATCCGTTGACTACGGTAGTCGCCTGTTGCCAGGTCCGCCTGCGCGGAGTTAGGTTCAATCTGTCCTCTCCTCAATCTTCGTCAATGAAACTGGATTTACTCGGGGTAATCAGTAACACAAAAGTCGTGCAACGTAGTTCCCCTACTGCTAGCAACGAGAGGGATTGGACCGTGTGCAGACATGATTGGGCGCGTGAAACTTTGGCGCTAACTTTCGGCTTGGCCGTTTTTACTCAATTGCAGGTTGGATGCCAAAAGAAGAAGCAAAAAATCTAGAACTTCGGCTAAACAAATGTCGAAATCCGCTCTAAAGTGCCTAAGCAGTGCACAGCTAACAGCACATGTTTGTGTAAGAAACTGAAGCAGTTTGCCATTGCGCTCTTCTCCAGTGGATAGCTCTTCAGTCTTAATTGCTGGGAAAGCATCCCCTTTGCCTTTGGAAACAGATCTCAAAAGATGGAGACGAGCTGACTCGTCTAATATTCACCCCCATCGAGTTGCTGATGCAAGATCTGCGGGAATTAAGCAGTCGAACGGTTTATTGTTATTTATCAGTCCGGCTTACATTAATCCACCTTCCTTTGCCCACATGCATTGCATTAGATGACTTTAAAACGGGACCATTAGAGAGGTCTGTTTTTTCCATTGGCGGTGCACCAAATTAGTCTTACCAAATCCTTACTTTGATGATGTGCTGAATGGACTAATGTCCCGCAAATGACTCTTGATTGATCGGACCCACGTAGCGGACTGATGTAATCGAACTGATGTTCTTGAGGTGCCTGACGGACTGGCCGGACTGACCCGCAGGTGATGTGGCCTCGGCCGAGCACGAGCAGCTGACGCTGGAGCAGGGGCAGCTCCCGTGGACGGTCGTCATAGCCATCTCGGCCGTCGGAGGTGTGCTGCTGGTGCTGAATGCCCTCCTCATCGTCTTCTTCGTGAGACGACGCAGGCAGAGGACCAAGAACAGCACCATCGACTCAGCCTGTGAGTTGGGTGGGCAGTAGTCGCTGATACCATTCAGGACCCCATCCACCATTCAAATGTTCTTGTGCACATTTTGTGGCGATGTTGGTGATAAGCCATTCTTGGTTTAGATTAGATACTTTTATCACGATGACGCATGCCATTTTCGCAGCGACGAGCGACACCAGCACAAAGTCAGAGGCAGCGCACATGTACGGCGCTAACAACGACTCTGCCAGCTCCCCGTCCGTCAACAGCTGCGGCAGCTTCAGCCGCGGAGACAGCCTCGAAGAGTGTGCCGTAAGTGTTCCTCGGCTCACCTAATATATAGAGCATTCGAACATCCACCATCGTTCAGCGGTCTTGGTGGAGACTTTTGCATCAATCACTGTGTATCTTTTACAAGCTGTTGAGGTCGCGACGTACCGGGTGCGATTTTATCACTCCTACCCTTTTGGTGCTTCAGGTGCTGTCCAGCAGTGGTGGAGGTACTGCCGGGTTCGGCCCCTGCGTGGGCGTTCCACTGATGGATCCCGTGGCGGCCTCTCCAGCGGACCTGTACGTCCTACCGACGTCACGCGGGGCTGCCGGACGGCCGTTGGGCGTGCCGTCCTCCCCAGCAGCCGTGACACCATCTCCAAGCTCTCAGACACTTCTGAGGAGCTCATCTCGCCTGCAGCAGCCGCTGACCACCGTCTCGAGTAGCCAGACTCTGTGCCGGAGCGGTCACCGCCGTCTCCCGACCGTCGGCAGTCCCCCGGGCCCGCTCTCTGCCGGCGTGCAGTACGGACTGGCCATGGCGCCCGACGAGCACTACCTGTCCCCTGGAGTTCGGCCGTCCTCAGCCGAACACTACCTGTCACCCCCGGCCAGGTCACCGACCGGGCGGTATCTACCAACCTCGACAGTACCGCTGGCAGCCGAGCACTACCTGACACCGTCCACACGGCTGGCATCGGCACAGACATCTGCGACTCTGACGCCGACACGAACAAACGAAACCCAGGAACAACAGGAGCCACAACAGTAAGTAATAATAAGCAGCATACACTTACCAAATGTCGTATCGGGTATTTTTTTAACTCCTGTGCCTTTTCATATGTTTGCAACCTAGCTGTCTGAACGGCCTTTACCGTTTAACTTCTCGACGACGTCGGCCACGTTATTCCACCATCGTGTGTGTGCCAATCGCTGGGTCTGACACCAGCGATCTGTGTTCGGCAGGTTCTGGTTCCGCTCCGACCAGCGGCCGGTGGTGCAGGCGCAGTACTCGTTCGCGCACGCGCCTCCATTCTCCCAGCCGGCCGGACACTTCCCCTATCTATAGCGTGGGGACAAAGACGAAGCCTTGATGGCGAGCGGGGAGACCATGCGTCCTGAAAGAGATGTGCTGGCGCTCTGGGTGCCTCTAAAAGAAGGACCAATGCGGCGGAAGTGTGCGAGGTGATGGCTCAAGATTGCGTTTTAGGACTGCGTGACTGCGCTCTCGGTGCTGCACGATATGTCGTCTGAGATTCCGACACGCTCTACGGATTGATGCAATTGAGAGCGGGAACGACTCGCACTGATCTAACTATTGGCTGTGATTTCCTTGACTACGCTCGTTAGTCCCGGGAACGATAGCCTCACGGTGCGAGGGGCGTGCCGGCGTGTAGGGCCGTCTGATGGTTCTGGTTCTCCGCTAGTGGCGGTACAGTTGCGGACTCAGTGACTTCCAGGCCGTAGTGGAAATGACGAGCAAAGTGGACTCTTGGATTTGTAGGTATATGCGTCATCGTATATGGGATGGATTTGGAATGTGCAGAAGGCTGGTAGTCGTGGATATGAGAACGATGCATTGAATCTGCTTATTGTATTATTGTGTGTATATTTGTGTAATATCTACCTATGTGTTATAGAACGGCTCCTTTTGTGTCAGTCATCTATGTCCTTCGTGTTCAGTCAAGGCGCATGGTGGACGTTGGGCCCATTAAACTACCAAGTGTCCGAAGTTCGTTGTAAATGGTACCCATTATTTAATAATCAGTTGCTCTTACAACTAATTGTCACAGTTCCAACTTATGACTGATTCAAAAGATGAAATGGCCCTGGTCCCTAAATCAGAGATATTTACCGTGGTTTGAAACTGCATAGTTTGAAGGCCTTGACACGTGTATGCTTATGTTGCATCCTCGCTTAGCTGTATAAATGCGCTGTATTCACTATTTGAAAACGACAAGGCACCTCTGTTGTACCCTAGTCACGCCTTTAGCTGCTGCATTTCAGGCTATGCAATGCTGTAAATAGATCAAATAATTCAAATATGGTATACAAAGCTTGCAATCTCTGAAGTGTTTAGCAATAAATTGTTTTAAACTGTTAATTATTGATACTCTAATGATTTAACCCTCGCCGGACCTATTGGTTTTCTACATACGCGCCGGCCGAGGGGGGGGGGCGGGTACGACCCCCCCCCCTCGCCGTTTCGCCCCTGGTGGAGCTAGCGCGTCGCGGAAAAAACGAGCGTGTGCGCCGTTACGAGACGCAGAGATTGGTACCCGATTTTAAGGTCCTGGGTCAACCGGTGACCTCTGAGGTCAGGTCAAGTGCCCCAAGGTACGGTTTAGTTTTTGGTGAATAACTTCGCAAAAAACGGCCGCAGAGCGCCGATTTTGGCAGCATCGTGTTCGTCTCGCTCAGGCGCGTCGAATGATATACTTTTTGTCCGGGTCAGGTCAACTTGGGGTGTTGACCTCAGGTCAAGGTCAGGTCAGCACCCCCAGGTCACGAAGTTGGTTGAAAGGGGTCATGTCGCATATCATTCGATTCGGCAGGTCTTCCTGAGTCCTTTGGTGGCTTTCCCGACTCGCTAGCTCAATTTGATCAAGAGTTATTGACGAAAAACTAATATGACCTTGATGACGTCATAAATGACGTCACGCAAGGTCAACATTGCAAAAGTGACGCATCTAACCTTGCAAGGAGTGCATAAAATCACGATTGTGTGTGCTTGAGATAGTTGGAGATCGTTCCCGGCGCCAGAATAGCAGTTTTCATTTTTCCCATTGACTTATAATGGTGAGGTCACGAAAATGACCTGACCTCATATGACCTTTAGGAAAAATCCGAGATATACAAGTTGTGGGACTTATAATGGATACTAGATCCTGCAAGTGTCATTTCCCTGTGACATCTCCTCTGGCAGTGAGGGCGTTGCGAAGTTGCGACATCTGAAGACCGTGCAGAGGTTCACTTATGACGTCATAGGTCAGTGACCTGACCTGACCCAAAAATGCGGTTGGTGTCAAAAGATGCGGCTTGGATCAAAGGTCAGGTATGCCAAGTTTCAGCTCTCTATCGCCAGCGTGTTCGGAGCTATCGCGAAAAAACCCTATGGGGGGGGGGCGGCACCCGCCCCCCCCCTCGGCCGGCGAGGGTTAATCCAATAGAGGCAAATGTTAAGTGTGAAATAGGTAAATCGTATTTTTATACGCAAAATTAACATTGTTACCTTACCGATCAATGGTTATGTACGATGTCCAAAGAGACAATGAAGCGTGATAACAAGGATTGTAACGATGCCCCATGGAGACACGTAAAAAATCGTACAGTCATGTATTTACGACAGAAAACACTCATTCCACTCCGAACAAGGAGGCATTCTCTCACATAAAAAACTGTTCACTTGCACCCATTACAAATGCAACTTTTGAAGTCAGAGTCACACGCCAGCCTTAGCTATTCCACATTCGTTCTGGGGAATGCGTGGCAAGCACGTACGGTCCAGCACCTTATTGAGAACGTCATGATGTATGACCATTTCAATTTACGAATGACGGTCTACAGCGGACTTTCCTTCAAAATCAAATGCTAGATATTTTGATGCAGAATAAAATAGCGAATGGTCGCTAAATTTATGCGTTCTAGAACATTTGAAAATGCGATTGCCTGTTTTCCCCACAACTTATATAATATTGGTTGATACGCAAAGAACAACAATCATCACCTCGGTGGTTCAACTTGTAAACCATAAAATAAGCGCAATCAATCGCGTACTCGTATTTGGCTTCGCTCGTTGTCTTTGTTTAATCATATTTTGTGAAATGCTTGTCGTTTGTAAATCACGACTATCACAAATCAATTTCAATGTCAACAGTGCAAAAGCGGCAAATAAGAAAAAAAACATGCACTTTAAATTCACTATCAGACGAGCAAACCATGATTACCTAATGACTAGCGCACCCAATAGCACATGCAGCGATGGAATGAATGAAAACATGGAATGTGCATTACATTCGAGGCTTTGGGAAGTCGACTGGTATTAAATATAGGTAGGTAAGTTCACTATACAGCACGTATGACATGTGAAGCTTTGAACGATACATAGGCGAGGAGGGACAGGAATGATCGACACACTCAGATTATCGACACATATGCAGATCTGTCCATGCGTCCACCCCTCGTTCCTGACAAACATAGAACATTGTTCGCGATACCATCCGGGGTGACCTCTGATTGAGACACTATTGCGCTAGTTCCCGTGGTGTCTGACCCCTACATTGACACAGTCTCACCACACAGAAGTCACCTCCGACCTTCTGACCACTCTGGGGACCGTCCAGGTCGCGGTCGCTGGCGACAGCTCATCAGCGTGTCGCCACCGCCAATCACAGCCATTTCCGCCACCCGGCCGGCCGGCTACACCAGTAGGCCGACCTCCTGGTGCCCTGAGGGCGGCGGCGGCGGCGGGGGCGGCGGGGGCGGCGGCGGCGGGCTGGCGCGGCCGCCGAACGTCGCCAGCTGCTTGATGGCGGCGGAGCGCGGCTGTGCGGGGCCGGTGAACACACACCGCTCGGAGGGAGGCGTGTATTGCAGCTGCTCCGGCGGAGGGGTGCGCTCCCGCAGCCCGCCGCGCCCTGCTGGAGGGGTATAGGCACACCGCTCCACCTCACTGGGCGAGTGGCAGGCGGGCCGGCCGGCGGGCACGAGGTCCGGAGCGGTCCCCCGGCCCGACCGGCCCCCGTACTGGCCGTACTGGCTGTACTGAGCCCCGGCCACTCCCAGCGGGTACTCTGAAATGACGAAACAGGGGTAGTCAAAACTCAGATATGATTCAGATGGAACCCGTTTCATTGTTTGGTATTGTTAGAATTCTTTAGTGACCATGTCATCCACGTGGTCACGCATCCTTGCCTGATGGGCCGGTTCAGAGCAGGTGGCTCGGTTGGCTCATGAAAAGGCGTATCATTGTTGTGTTCTACATGGATGATTCAGTGGCCAAACAATGCAGCCAGTGTCCCTTGATGGACGGCGCCGTCACTTGGAGTGGAGCGAGCTGAAAAGCTTTCTATGTTTTTCCCTTGACGATTTGAGTGTCCTTCCAGTAGTATATGAAACGCAAATACCGACCAAGAGACGCAAATATCTCGATATTGTCACCAAGATTTAATAATTTATCATTACATAAAACCGTTTTGCGTATATCGACTCACCCCTGGTGGGAGTGCAGGAGGTGCTCCTGTGCAGCTTGGTCCCCTGGTCACCCTGTCGACCGTCAGTAGTCGTAGGTGACCCTCGCTGACCTCTGACCCGCTCTGAGCGGAACCGAAACACGTCTGACGAACGAGACCGGACGGCACCGGGCGCGCCGGTCTGACGGACGTCGGCGATCTGAGGAAGACGCAAACAAACAAATGGACACATAGGTCATTAGTGCGGGTTTATCGATGCAATACGCATGCACGATAGAGTTGTTTATATAAGCATGTAGAATAAACGTATGAAGGTCGACAATAAAATGTTTAACATGGTATGCCATAATGTTTCTTTTTTCTACGGTATATTCACGTATGTAAACACATTCAACGGAATTATTCCCAAGGACTTGATGTTACACATCAACCACGCAGCCTCCAGACCACCCGTCGGCGAAATGTTCTCACCTGACTGTCGCTGAAGCTTTCCTCCCTGCTACCGCCGCTCTTTACGGAGATGGTGCTGACCGTCTCCGTGCCGTACATGTGCAGCATCTCAGACTTCGTGCTCACGTCACTGGCTGCAGGGAAAGAGAGGAATGCGTCACGACTCACGTTTGAACCCCATTTCTCACATTTAATGACACGCCACTTTCTACACTCCTGCAGTTTGTAATCGCTACACTATGGTAAAAGTTAAAACTACTTTTACCCAGGTCAAATAATGATCAGAGCTTGGTTAAATTTATTTGATGGACTCAAAACTACGACAGTACATTTCGTAACAACAAACAAATAAATATCTAACGAAATATCGTCAATTGATCAACGATCCCGCAGCTGGTGTGTCGTATTCCCGAGACGTGCAAATGTAAGTTATTTGTCTGCAAATGACCAATGTCCGGTGGAACGATCGGTGTCAATGTTCCGTTCATTGGAACTGAGTGGAAACTTTCCAACACTGAAGCATCGTCACACCTGAAAAATGTCTGGCAGATGACGTAGCTATATGCTCTACCATCAGATGCATGTTCTAAGTTCTACATTCGAATGCGGAACTGACTTTATTCGAGATTAAACGACCTTGGGCTTTGCCGCCCACGGTGAATGATATAATATTTGGTATGTACGTGCAATATGAACACAAAATATATATAAAAAATGATTATGGATGCACAAAATGATTTCAAGTGCAGGTACCACATATGCAATGAAACTAAATTCAATTCAGATCAGACATGGGTGTCTTTCGTTTCTTTTAAAACTTACAAGCTGATTCCACCATTTTCTTTGGCTGCCTCGCCCTGCGCATGCGTCGTCGAATAAAGAAGACGACGAGCGTGACGTTGACGACGAGCAGCAACGCTCCGACAGAGGAGACGGCGATGATGACGATCCAGGGCAGCCGGGCCTCGTCAAACACGGCCGGCTGGGATTGATCGGCGTCGCCTGCAACAAACCAAGGTCAGGTCCATAGACATCCAAGTTCCAGACCTTTCTCGGAAGCTTCTGATACTGTTCCAGTGCACGCGCTCCTGCAGCAGTGGACATTGCGTCATTGAAACACAATAATGCATTGCGACTTTTCTGTACGCTTGTCTGTCACAATTTACTCCACGCCAACTCCTAAGACATATTCCGGCCCGCACGTCATAGTGAAGCCTCACTGACCTGTGGTCGTTGCCGTTGCTGTGTCGGTGCTGTAAGCGCTGCTTCCGAGTGTGTTGAAGGCCATGACGGAGAAGGTGTACCGCGTGCTGGCTCGGAGGCCGGTGACGGTAAACTGAGTACCGGAGGACGGTGGTACCGGGTCGACGTGCCGCTGATCGCTGACACCGTCTGCTGTAGTGTGTCGGACTCGGTACTCCTGGTGGAAGGATGCTCTATCAGATCGGCAGCTTGGGTACTCGCCAATATATTCACTAGGCAGCACGTTACCGATAAAATTACATTTAACCCGTATTGTTGGCTGCTTGTAGAACTTACTTGCTCCTGTCCGCCGTCGAAGCCGGCTTCCCAGGCCACTGTGGCCGAGTCGTGGGACACGTTGACCACCTTCAGACCCAGCGGAGGGTCCGGTGCACTGGGACGGCCCAGCTCTATCTGCTGACGCTGAGAGCCCAGCTCGTTGAGGGCGACGCACTCGTATGTGGCGTAGTCCGAGGGCTGCACGTCCTTGATGCGGAGCACCGACTGCCACGTCATGAGGTCCAGCTGGAAAAGAAAGTTGGATTTAAGGCCGCCCCACACTGGACCTCGCATGCGGGTTGCGAGTTTTCGTTTTTTTCGGGTTTCTTCCAAATAAAAGAATTCACTCTATGTTGAGTAACCCATACCACCATGCAACAAGCGAGTCTGCTTGTTTTCAGCATGCGAGCCAACTTGCATCGCATTCCAAAAGTTGAGTTCGAGTCAACTTTCGATTTTCCTCGCTGCGAGGTCTGCGAGTTCTGCGAGGTTTGCGGGTTTTTCGTTGAAGTCGAATTCTGGTTCGTTGCGCTGGTATTGCGACTATATGTAAGTTTCTGAAGGTGAACCGGCTTCACCATGCATTCATGAAGTTACCATAAGGGAACGGTCTAATCTCTGTGAATTAGTATTATGCTCGCAAAATCAAAACCCGCAAACCCGCGACCCGCATGCGAGTTCCAGTGTGGGGCGGCCTTTAGAGTCGATAGGTAGCAGACGCGCTAAGCCAAAAGGCGCATTGCCTCAAACTAAAATAAAATAAGATAAGTTAATTAACATAAAATCAAAATAACTTGAAGACTCAAATAACAAAAACTAATCACATATCAAACCCTTGTTTCACGCACTTAAAACTACTCCATTGCGGATCTGAAATACTGATGAAGCGTCAAACTTTTCAGTGGGACACGCTATTTTAATTCTGACAGACCGAACTTCCATCCGATCCTTTATCATCCAGATAGTGAAGGGCGTGGACCGTCGACCGACCTGTGTGTAAGCAAGGCTGTATCTGCCAGGGTCGGTGCTGTTATCAATCAGGGTGCCCTGCGTGGACCACTGGAAGGTCACGTTGGGTGCCCCGCGAGCTCGGCACGTCAGCAGTGCTGTGCCCGTCAGGTCAGCGGCAGACTTGGAGAACCGTCGGCCGTCGACAATTTCTGGCTCATCTGGAACAGAATCCGTCCGCCGAAATCAGCTTTCACGCCGTATGCACGTCGTGATGACTTCGCGATTTCATTATTGAGCTGATAAAGAAAGCCCAGGGTGCTTTTGCGTTTGAAGGTTGGCAGGAAAGGTACAAAAAGGTAAAAAGTCAGAAAATGAAGACAAATCGAGACGTCACATGTTTCCAGCAATTGTTTATGCTCAAACGGACGTGACGAATGTTTTTTAATGTTGTTGTTACCAAGAATAAGAGATATATGTCAACTTAGGTACATACATTGTCGTAACATAATTGTTTTGCGATCTTCATACGTCTACAGATGTCATGCTAAGATCCCTATGCACTCATTTTTAGCTAAGGTTCACTCACGTTCGACCAGCAGAGCCACGGAGGCGTTGGCCTCTCCGATGTCATTCCTGGCGAGGCACACGAACTCTCCACCGTCTTCCCTGGAGACGTTACGGATCGTCAGCAGGCTGCTGCCGTTGCCGACCGCGATGTTGACCCTGCTGGAGCCGAAGTTGTAGCCCTGTCTGCCCCAGCTGACCATGTTTGGTGGCGTGGGGTTGGCCTCGGCGGCGCAGTCCAGCACAGTGTCATCCCCAGCGGCCACCAGCACCATCTTGGGGATGGACACGATGTCCGGAGCATCTGTGAAAGATTAGTCCACTCAGAAATACCGATACTGACGGTGAAACGAGAGAATTTAGATGCAGCCTGCAGGGACGCAATCTTCGAAACCGTTTATTTTATTTTATTTTATTTTATTTTATTTTATTTTATTTTATTTTATTTTATTTTATTTTATTTTATTTTATTTTATTTTATTTTATTTTATTTTATTTTATTTTATTTTATTTTATTTTATTTTATTTTATTTTATTTTATTATTTCATTTTATTATATTTTATCCTTTTTGTTGGTTTCCGCCTGACAAGACCATTTCAGAGCCGGAAGGATAATAGGAATTAGAGGAAAGACATTGGTCTGGTCAGGCGCCCTAGAGAGTCACCGGGGCTGAGCCCGTCCGAATGGACAGGCCGACCAGCCCCCCTTGCAGTTTTCATGGACAGGCCGACCAGTCTCTGCACCCGGCTATACGGGTGTGCTGCCCGGGGAGCAGAAACCGTCTACACTGGTCTGGATAGATTTTACAGTGCGATGAGCTTGATTAACTATCAACATACTCTACAGGAAAAAAAGTAAAAACGAATGAATCGCACAATAAAAATGTTGGCACTCATTAAGCAGAGTGCTCAATGCTGATAACAATTGCCAGACCACTTACATTGCACGTTGACGTGTACGCTGACGGTAAAATTTCCTTCGTCGTTGGAGGCCACCAGCCGGTACCACCCGGCATCAGCTTTGGTCGCGTGACTGATGTCTAACAACGGGCCGTTCATTTGAACGGTGGCGCCATCTGCTGGCGACTCCTTCAACCAGTGGTACTCAATGTCGCCGGGCCTTCCCCGGGCCGTTAGATTCAGGCGCAGCGACGAGCCACGCTGAATGTCGGCGACGTGGGTCGTCTGGTTGAACTCGGGCGGGTCTGTAAATCAAGCATGAATTACCATTCCATCTCGCTGGCGCGTTTTGATAAAATAATCAAATGTTACCTCTTATCAACTAAGTTCAGGTGTCTAATTTGGCAAGGATGTAGGGGAGAGCGGGGAGAGTTGTATCATGTCCAAGTTGTATCAGGGCGAATTGTGCCAAACTTATCCAATGGATGGCGCTCGCGACACGACCAGCCGACGAGGTTTTCCGGGCGCCATCTTTCCCTGTTCTGTCTTGTGGCTGAGTGGACGCGTCTCGAGGTGAGAGCCGATTTTATGTTTTTTTAATGTCATTCTAAAAAAATAAGTTGCAAGAAAATGTGTGTTTTGGGCATTTAGATGTGCACGAATTTGAAATATCTCCGTAACGGTGGTGAGGGTAGGTTCTAAGGCTGCGTGAGTGAAATCGGATTTCTCCAGCTGTCCGCTGTTTTTTGAGCACGAGGATGTTTTTCCAAGATGGCGGCTAGGTACATGTTGTATCAGAGCCGGGTGGGGTATGTTGTAACATGTATGTATGTATGTATGTATGGGTATGTTGCTTTTGATCGCGAAAGCTAAGCCCTGGCTCGCGTTTGTAGGTAGCTAGTCAATGCTCGTTCCATTTCGGCACAATGTGTTGGCTTTTTTGCTCTTAACGGGCCACTTTTGCGTCTAGTCTGTTGATGTTTCGTTCGGATTGCATTGACCTAAGTTTGGTCTAATAAAGTGAAGCCTTTGAGCATACCTATACATTGTATTAACCCCATTTAATGTTGCTGTTATGTTCAAAACCAGTAGCAAGCACACTCCCTGAAACGTGAAATAGTGATACAAATTACCCCACCATGTGATACAACTCACCCAAGCCATGGGGCAAGTTGTATCAAAAACATTGTTCTATTCGGCAGACCGTAGAAGAAAAACTGGTAGAGGTAGCGGAAAAGTTACTTTGCACAAAAAAGCAGAAGAATCAAGGAAGGGGATAGTATGGAAATAATGAGTTTATCACGGATAGTTACGAGGTTATGGGTCTCGGAGTAAAAACTGATACAACCCACCCCACTCTCCCCTATGTATTCAAAAAGCAATGTCCTATCATAAATCATGTTTGCTAAGCAAATGTACAAAAATGTGTATAAATGCGCCATAATGCAAACAGATGTACGACTAGGCATGATACGTCAGCACCATTGCAATTAGCCCTCAGAAACGGCAAAGGAACTTGAAGGATGTCCTTACATGACACAAGTAGCGCTTGTTTCTCCTGAAGCACCTCAGAGAGTTCTGAAACGTTGCAGCGACAAACGAAGACCGCGCCATCATCAGACGACGTCAGATTCTTGCGAAACGAAAGACGACTTGAAAACCTGTGCAGCGAAACCCAACAAATACGTGAGCCACTCTTGGAGCTAATCAAAAGATTCTTTCTTGGTATCTCAAAGCCGAAATTTAACACGAACATGAAATAGATGAAATAGAAATAGAAGTAGAACTTAGAAAATAAGGTGACTCAAAACGACACTATGGTATGACGAAATAAATTTTCATAAACGATATCATAAAGATGGTCGCAAAGAAAAGGTCAAAACCCACAATGGGTGGCGTGGTCTTATCGTTACGAAATAATTATGCGAGGTGCTCACCCTCCGTGTTTTCCGGCTTTGAATGTCTCCAGGGCGGTGACCCCGTCGGTGACCTGGACGTTGTCTCGCCACCAGGTCAGCTCAGCCGCCGGGTACGACGGTCTCGACTCGCAGGTCAACAGAGCCTGACTGCCCGCCCGCAACACCTCCGGACGGACCTCCAGCTTCAGGCTCGACGGAGGGACTGGGAAAATTGCATTTTCTCTCAGTGATACAGCGATTGAAATGGAAAGATGCATGATAATTGATCATGGTCCTTCAGCAATACGATGTAGAATCGAAGTAAAAGAACCTACAATTGTAAATTCACTTCCAACACCATACCTGCTACATGCTTTTTAATTCTACGTTACTCATTATTGAATTCAAACCTCATTAAGGATTTTTTTGATGGAATGCTCATGACACTTCAAGGTTTCAGCGATAGGATTACATCAACTTACAATAGACCGATAATTCCACGCTGGCTGACTGCACCCCTCCCAGTTTTGAGTTGGTGCTGCGGCAGGTGTAGACGCGTCCGTTGTCGGCGTGGTCCACCTGGAACGTGACCACGCTCCTGGCCACGCTGTCGCGCACCTCTGTGCTCGAGGCCAGCTCCGTGTCGCCCTGGTACCAGGTGAGCGTGGCCGGCGGGTTGCCGCCCTGCGAGACGCACGAGAGAGACACCCGCTCTCCGGCCCGCAGGTGGGAGCCCGACTCGTAGCCCAGGATCGTCGGCGGCTCCGGAGGATCTGTGAAGTAAAGATACCGTCGTAAAACTATTTCATTTATTACAAAATAAAAAAACTATCAGACATAGACATACAGCCGACATACATACAGATATCTGACATGCATCGGGACATGAGCGTAAAATTTATTCTAAAAATTGTATCCAATGAGTGTGTAATAACAGTGAGCTTTGAAAAAAATGGTAAGACAGCATGCATCTACGCACGCAGTATGGTGACATTCGCCGACCCGACTTTGGTTCGTCCGAGCGCGGGGTTGAGTCCGTAGCAGGCCACCGTTATGTCCTGTCGCATGCCGATCGGCACCACAGTGGAGATGTTGGAGCTGCTGATCCAGCCGCCGTCGCCCGCCACAGACGTCTCCTGACTCGTCTGTAACAGCCCTCATCTCAGTCAGCATCAATTCCGAGAAGAAAGGATTCCACTCCGGGCGCAATGGGTCATCGGATGCCTTCTCCTCTTCACTAGTTTGTGCAGATATACGGCAATATATTTTCTACATATTCAATTGCTAATGATGTTACCTTCTTTGAAATACTATCAATAGCTAGCAACAAAATATAGCAAGCATATAACCTATGATTTAAGCTTCTGTTGAAGAAGAGCTCAACGTCAGTGTCTTTCCAAGGTGCTTACATTGTTGACGGTTTCCCCGTTGATGACCCAGCTGATGTTGGCGGGCGGGTTACTGCTGGATGTGATACAGGACATGTGCACTGCATCTCCGCCTCTGGCCTCCTGTGTCCCCGACACGGTGACTTCATCAGGGCCGACTGAAAGCAAATGGTCTTATGTCGGGAATCGATACGACTTAGATCCGCAGTGGTCCTCCACGTGAAGTCACTTGATTCCAAAACGTCAAGTGCAAGAGCTTCTGTGGGTCAGTCTTTCACCACCCTGATACAATATTACCACAAACATCAACATCAGGTCTCAGCGGCTCAGCAGTACTCACACAACACATTCACGATTATGTAAGTCTCGGTGACCTCCTCCTGTGCCTTGGAAGACGCCTGGCAGCGGAACGTCGCGTTCATGTTGGACACCTCTGCGTCCACGACCAGCACTGCTACCGCCTTGCCGTGCTCCTGGCGGTACTTGGAGCCGATCGGCCGTCCGTTCTTGAGCCAGACGAGCTGGGCGGGTGGGTTTCCGCCTCTGGAGATGCACGTGAGCGTCTTCTGCTGTCCGATACTGACCACCTCTCCCTCCGTGTAGCCGCTGATCTCCGGGGCGCCCGGAGGGTCTGCGCCAGAGCGACGGGGAGACTGAGTTAATTAAAAGGGAGCTTGAAATCGCATGATCATGTACATGATGTGTAGTGTATGTTGCATACATGCTGCATCTCCCCGCATAATAAATGCTCACGATCTGTTTTACTCCATTCAAAAGGTGACAAACGAAGTGAATTTCAGCTAATCAAATAAAGAAGCTGACATCTAAGATGGCGTAGATAAGAAATGAAACAAATATTTTATCTCGTTCGACTCGTTCGCATGTTTTGCTCTTTGAGAGGCTCCAGATGTCGAGTCGAGTGAAGTCAAGCTCCGAACTCCCAATGTAGGCAGTAGGATCAAAGTATTTCCCATTAACTACTTACGGAGCACTGAGAGCCGTACGGTGGCGTTCAGTTTTTGCCGGTCCTCGGGCGCTATGGCCGGGTGCTGGGCCACACAGGAGATGCCGGCTCCGTCGTCGGCTGCCGTGGGTCTCAGGGTCACCACAGAGGTCGTGTCGTTACGACCCGGGTGGCCCCAGCCGAAAAACGAGTCCCTCCGCTCTGGAGAAAAGAATCACACATCCTTCTTGAACTAGAAGATAGCCGTGTCTGATATTATTAGCATGACAATGATGCCTACATTTTTATACCTAAGAGATGAAACCTTACCGGTTATATTTTATCGTTCATCTTTTTCTTTAGATATTGGACTCGAAGCTACGCTAAACATCAAGTGTGTAAACTGAAAAGAGAATAGCAGACTCTCACTGTGTAACGATACAGCTGAAAAGACGCATATCAATCACCCCCATGTCGCTTACCTGGCCTGATATCGAGTCCGTTCCTCTGCCAGACGACCTGGGCTGCCGGCCGGGACCCTGTGACCTCACAGGTCAGAGGCAGCTCGGCGTCCGCAGCCACCTCATAAACGGAGGCGGCCCGAGACCCAGCCGACGAGCTTAGCTGAATGGAGACCGGCCTTACTGAAACCGACATAATGAACACAGTGATAAATTGGGGCCTCTGTTCAGGGTGATGGTGTTGAGAAAGCAGTCTGTCATGATTGTGATTTTTAACTATGCAGATTGGAAGGAAATTATCATTGAAGTTCATCTTACCTAGAACGGTGAGTATGGCGTCGGCTCGGATGGCGTCCTGTCCGCGGTTCGGCGACACCTGACACTGGAACCGACCGTCGTCCTCCAGGGTCACGTTGGTGACCTCCAGGTCATGCACTCCTGACCCCGGGTCACCCAGCATTCGGTACCGGTCGTAGCCGGGAAGTGACCGTGAGTAGCCTGAAAGGACACAAAAAAATAGATTTTTCATGATTAGTCAGGTTTTGATATGATTGCAGATATGATCATGCAGATCTGGGTTGTCCCAATTAGTTTCACGGGCGTCCACTTCATTTTCTTTTTCGTTTTCTCTGAGCGAACAGCCTGTGGTCCTTGTTCCGACGGTACCGTTCCCACCTTATCCCAGCTCCGTCTGAAGGACCCCAGTTGTTCGTTTATACGACAAGGGCTCCAGCTGGACGGTTATATACGACAAGGGCCCCAAGTTGCACGGCTATACGGCCCTGGGGTCGGCGTGAGGCCGCTCAGGGTCGTACCGCCATCGACAGCTCCTCCCCCGTGCCCCGCCACGCGGTAATACGGCGCGGCGCGCGCTAAATTGGCCGAAGCCAGCCCGATTCGCAGCTCGGCTAATCAGCGCGCCAGCGCAATTAACCTAATGATCCGGCCGGATCGCGGCATCTTATTAAGCCCGGATCCACCAGGCCCGATGTTCATATCAGCGCGGCACGTCGCTATCCTTTACAATTTAGCGGCATCAATGGCTTAGCGAAGCTGCAATAATAAAAGTCCGCCGGTTCTGATGAGCTAAGATGACTGGTTCGATGTAGAACTGTTGAGATTCGCTACTGATTGCAGGCCATTTCTGGCGGAAACTGTCTGGGAATGACAATGGTCTGACGATAAATAAAATAAAAATGTGGCAATTAGTTTTGTACTCATAATTTTTTTAGCTTAATAAAATCGTATATTATAAAACCGTATCCATGTCTGTTAAGTGTCATTGTTAACTGTTCAGTTATAACCTATATGTGCTGAGCGCAAAAAAAGTATTGTAAGTCAAGATATGGCCTCAAATTTACTTCTAGAAGCGTTGGTCAGTTATACGCTCCTAAGTTTTACTTTGTATTTGCCAAAGTTTTGCCTCGGTGGGGTCATTCAAACGTAAGTTACGAAATTTTCCCCTTATAGGTATCGGAAAGTTCCTAATGATAATAAGTTAGCATTTGGGTATATGGACATTTCAGTGATTCAATCCAAAATGCCACCACCCCTGCGACTAACAACCTGGATTCTATAGACGAAGACAGTGAAAACGGAGAAAATAGGTACCTACACAAGGCTCCGAATTTCTAATTCGTACGCATAGGACAAGAATAAGAATAAGATATACTATTTATACAACAGCATGGTCTCTCAGACCTGGAAGCGTTAAAAATAAAGGCGAAATCAGAAATAAGAACGGCACTAAAAAGGTGCTGGGCAGAGCGGAAAAGTAGTGAAGCCTTACCGAGAGCGAATCCATCCTTGGCCCACTGGAGCTGTCCGACTTGGTGTTGCACTTCACACCGTAAGATGGCGCTGTCTCTTTCCACCACGCTCACGTTGGACGGACGGACACGGAACCGCTGCTGCTGACAATGGACTGCGAAAACAGAGAAGACGATGTTGTTATTATATTGCTGAATAAGCTTTGTTTATTTTTTTTCTTTTCGAATTGAAAACAGGTAGACATACATCGATTAATCGAAACGGATTAATCGATAGACGGTTACCACATCGCCTCACTTTCTTCATCTTCCGTCTCGTGTTTCCCATTGCCCTTTCCCATCCCCCCTCTCTCTCTCTCTCTCTCCTTCCCTATCCGCTCTCTCGCCGCCTCTTGCTCCGCGTCTCCTCAGACAAAGGCTGGCCGGCTTTAATGAGATGCGCCGTATCGTAGTCGTACGGTAATGAATGGCCTGCAAACACTAGACAACCACAAAGCGGCTCTATATATCTCGGCCGCGGACGGTGATACCGGCGTGAGTGACCCGTTCTGCCCAGATAGCGCGGCCGGACGGCTGTGGGGGCCGAGCGAACCCTCTCCGGGGTCGAATGACTCACGGAGGTGGCGAAAACCACACCGAGAAACTTTCTGAAGGTTACTCCGGGAAGATAACAATGTTTGTCTCAAGGGTGCTTACTGTCATTATGCAGAGTTGTTGCTTGCTATGATGAAAGCATCATTGCGCTAAAAGATGTATTATCGAGAGTACCGAGCTTGGCACCAGAAGATTATTTACTTATTTGCAAAAGCCGGCAATATATGGCAAAGCAGCCATACTTAACAAACGCTTGTCTGCCGTTTGGGTCTACTCACACCTGCCTGTCGGATTTACACTGCAAATTGCCGCTCATTCGCTTAGGCTGTATGTAAATCAAATACCTACTAAGGTCTACATCAAAGATTATCACCACCGGCGTTGTGTAATTATAACGACGACGGCACTAGGCAAGAGTGTATCCAGCGTCCTGACGCGTCGCCGAGTCCTTCCTTTCCCAGAACGTAGGTACAGATCTCTGATGATCCTGTAGGAAGAGGTTGATGAACGGCTCAGTGTTATCACTCAGTCATCCACGGCTCCGTGCTATGTCGTCCACGGCGCCATGAGCCTGATCGCCACGTTTTCCTGGCTAACTGATCCACGGTCAGAGAGTTTTCACTCTGATGATGATAGAGGCTTAGTGATGTCATCTCCGGTCGCAGACAAATGGAGAGCGAGACCATAAAACACCTGTGGAGCTCACGGCAAGTTTCAGTGTTTCAGACTCAGCTCAAGACAGTTCTTCCGGAAGAGTTTTGTGCCGGGTCTCACGTCTTTATTTTGAACGTCTTGCATGCGAAAACAACTATCCATAACTATACTAATCACATAGCAGACAGATCGGAATATCGTTTCGCTCCTTAGGAAAATAATATTAAACAACCCGAACACGCGAATATTAGAAGCCCCCCCCATCCCCCCCACACACTAACAAACACTGCAGCTACATTCGAGACGCGGCGTCAAGTCTCCAATTCATCTAATGCAGTATCTCTGGATGGGAAGGCTAAATACTGCCGACCCACAGCGCCGCCACAGCGCGCTGCACCGCAGTCTGCTCGGCCGCCCTCAGCGCGGCGGCAGACAGGCGGCGACCATTGCCGCCCAGCGTAGAGGGTCACGACCGTGGGCGGCCCTGTTCTCACCCGGCCAATGTCACGAATGTTTACGATGACGGCGCCAGTTCCAGTTCGTGAAATGAGCGGTGGTAATAGTATGATGACGCGTGATCAAATGCGGATGTCGGTGCTGAGCGAATGTGCTGTTACAACGCCTCGAAATGAGCCCGTATTCCGCGATGGATGAAAAAAGGCAGACGGACGGAATCCACTGCTGTATTTATGCAAGGTCAGAACAGCGTTGACAAAATGTCTCCACCAGGGTTTTGTTTGAAAGTTCAATATCAGCAATCAGCATACTGTATACAGTATGCTACAGTATGCAGTATACAGTATGCCGGAGTATACTCCGGCCCCTGCAACACCGGAAAAAAACTTATTCCGAATGCGCTGTTATAATTTTTCCCCTCAAGCGAACACTTCAATAAATTTTCGGAGACCAAAATGTGCTACCTAAGTGATTTAGTTAATACATGGAGCTTCGGTGCTACACGGTTCCACCATTCAGACATGTAGCACTTCTCAGAACCGCCTTTGGCTTATGCTTGGTAATTTCTCCGAACAGGAGTCCTTCAGAAGTATGGCGAACAGAACGCCTGCCGTTCCGACCAGCTGGTGTGGTATTTGTGACGGGTTATTAAATTCCATTTTCATCATTTTACGATTCTATTTATGTTCCTAAATTATCCTATGCTCGTTGCTACTTCAGCCTTTGTCTCCTGTCAGGACTGGCATAGAGCTTCGACTTTTACACATCACGTGAGGAAGCATCCGTGGATCTGATGACTACGGAAGGTTTATATAATTCGGAGCGCAGCGGCCCTCCCAAAGACTAAAACGTCCTCGCTGTTGAAAAACTTTGAACGTGTCCATCGCGCGGCTCTCACCAACGTCGACTGTCGGAACCTTGAGCAAGACGCATGCGTCTTCTGCTTTTGTCTAGCGCTGTGGTAGTCTGAACAGAGGCAGAGAGTTCAGGCCACCAATTCCGTGACATACGGAGACCGGATACACACAGCTTCAACAACGTCCCGTTGCTTGAACAATCTTCAGTTTCTCTTACGATTCGTGTCGCTATCTTTAGACCAGAACGTCCCCTGTGCCAGTGTTCCATTCCCGAAACGAGTCGGTTGTATTGAACGGATACAGAAACGGGAGTTTTCAGATCAAGCGAACAACAACACGGCTTTCCCAATCTGCTGGACTGTGGCATCGGACTTAGCGGCAAATGTAAGTACACGGTGTGGTACGGAGAGAAAGAGAGAGAGAGAGAGAGAGAGAGAGAGAGAGAGAGAGAGAGAGAGAGAGAGAGAGAGAGAGAGAGAGAGAGAGAGAGAGAGAGAGAGAGAGAGAGAGAGGGGGGGGTTCCAATATTCTGATGTCACCCACATAAATATACCAGTGGCCGAGAGACCCAACAACTGTGGAGCTGATAATGACTGTGGCCTTATTACGGGACTTTAAACCTTAATAAAAAATGAACGTTTGCTTTATTAAAACGTAACGGAATTAGCGACCAATTCCTGTCTTTCGTGACCCTTTTAACAGAACCCAACCACGTCGATCATTGAAAACCGAACTGATCTGTCAGCCATGTTGACCCTGGCTTTCCGAAGTATTGACCCTTTTACCGTTCCATTTCCAGAGTCGACAGTTTGCGCACCATTCTCGTCTCCCGGCTCCCAGTTTCGCGGCACGTGGCCGGGCATTTCGCACCGATCGTCGCGGCCAATCGGCTCGCCTCAGCGGATTGCCGATCCGCTGGTGCGCACACGATCCGCCGACGGAATATTTCAATTTTGAACGGAATTTTGCCGCCTGGCTGGCGGTCGCCGGCCTCTGCTGATGCCATCAATTGAATTCCTGCCGACGCCGGGTCAAGGAGCTGCTCCAGACGGGTGAGAAGGATGGCGACGCACCAGGATGAGATGCGGCGGTACGGTTAGGTATAGTGGAGCGGAAGCGCCAGTGAGAGTCACCAGCGATTGCAAGAACAGACGCTGCTCAAAGTCAGTAGGTGTGTCTGTGTCTACATGTGTCGGTCAGGGAAAATACACCAGCAATGGAGCCATAAAGGGACAACATAGTGGGGTGAACAGGAGGCGGCAAATAAGAGAGTAGGAAGTGTACGATCAACACGCGTAATAAACAAGAGGCAGGGAGCAGAGTATAAGCGTTGCCGGAAGAACGCAGCACAAAGTGAAGTCGGAATGAAGAAAAGATCAAAACGAGGCTAGCGTTACCTACATAAATATGCCTCGGGAAGGGCTCACCACCATGGTGAACATATGCTTCAGTACAAAAGGCTCTCCACGTTCGGACTTTGCAGGTTTAGGCGTAACCGTGTGCGGTATATGTTGCATGTATATTACGACGAGCTGAAATGCAAAACTGATGAGTGCACTTTGTTGCCACTCTTCCACGTGTCCCCACCAGTTGAGCCCACTCGCATGTGGCTGCCCTTTGTCACCCGCTCTGGTGTAATGACCTCTCGTCAGTTAGCGTTACGCCCATCTGCTCATCCCCTGCATCCCTCTCAGAAGTGGACAGATTAGCATGCCAGTCGGAGCCGCCACCTGAATGACAAATGCACTTAAATCCCCAGCTCTTGACGCCGGTGATATTCGGCGGCATTCAGCGAAGAACGTGTCATACATTTTGATTTAAGCAGCGGTCGCCGAGGCAGATGCTCACAATTCCCGAACGTTAGAAAATATCACGACCCGTGGAGCGTCCCCAATTCGGCGCCAGCTGTAGGGACTTGGGCTGATGAATGACAATTATGCAGACATCACTAACAGCAATTAAAAGTCTGAGAGTTGTTCTCTGGAATTTCAGATTAGATTGATTGCTGTTGACGAGTTCTGGGAAATGTCTGCCCCGGAAACACTGTTTCTAATACCCTGACGGAGCTGTACCGGCCTGGTTAGAGAGCTGGACAAAGTATACGCAAAGTATACGTGTTTGCACCTTGGTGCAAACGGAAAAGATGTCACATACGTGTAAATACATGAAGGCGTCAAGGTGCGACATACATACCTACTCGAACGACTCAGTCATTGTTGGCCTCATTCATAAAATATTAATGATATTCTAGAGGCTTTAGGAATGGCCTTGGCAACTTCGTTATCCTGTTAAAGGTAGTGTGCCACCTTTGAAAGATTTCCCAGTTTATTTTTCCTAGGATAAGAAGCTTCTGTTTTTACCTAATATCGCAAAAAAAAATCAAAAATGGGCCTGGAATAGTGCCTTTTTCGCCTAAAAGTTTTTCGGTTTTTAGATACCTATGTATAACAACTGTAGTGGGCTCACCTGCAAACAGGCGTCGGGCAACAATCGCGAATGCGGCGCACTTGTGACAATAAGCAAAGGTCATTATAGTGTTACGACCATACGACGTACGGGAATGAGTTATCAGCTGTCTAATCGTAGACAACACA